TATATATATATATATATGATTGAATGGCAGATATTGCGAAACTATACCATTAAGAAAAGAGTGGCAGGAAAACATGGATTGATAAGACCAAAAGTACTTGCCCGATAAGCATCGATTGTATACACTCTGATACAACATCGATGCAAAAGGAGGAAAATATTGATCATAAATCGATATATAAATACATAAATTGATATATTGATTTTATTAATAAATAAGTATCGGAGGATATGCATTTTGTATAGAAAAATTGGCCATACTCTTGTTAACAGAAATATTGAATGCCTGCGCGGCCCGTTAGAATCGATTGGGTCTAGAAAAGGGCGTACAATGAAGTGTCAACCTACGAACCTATCAACGAAAATACATATGTATGATATCTACGATCATCAACGATCGTGTGACTAACAATTTAATTGGGGGAGATGCATGGCCACGCCGAAACGTATAAAGCCGCCTCTACATAACACACAGAATGCAGGTCGCAGGTCGCAACTGAAACATATTTCAGATTATAGATTGCAAGTTGCAATACGTAGGATGCAGGACGCGAAAATTGAAGTTCATCCAACTTCCTGCGTTCTATGTCCTGTAGCCTATTATTAATTAAAATACATTAAATTAGTTACTAGTCTTGTGACGCTCGTTCTGTGTGATATATAAGATCTAGCTTTATAGGTTGCAGGACGTAGAACGCAATAAAGTTAGATAAACTTTAACTTCGCGTCCTGCGTCCTGCATTCTGTATCCCGCAACCGGAAATACGTCACGCTGTATCTATTTGCGACCTGCGATCCACGTTCTACGTAAATATAACAGTTTAAATCAATCTTGCCTTATCTTCACGATGCACAATTGTCACGACCACGCGATCATAAATGGTCGTAATCGCGGAGAATATAACAAAAATTAACGAATATAACAATTATGCGGAGTGCTTGAATCAAACGATAAACGATAGAAAAGTCAATTCGCGTGTATTACATTATACAGGGTCCCTAAATCATCTGAGAATCGCTGTCAAGAGACAACGTAATAACGGTGAGATGTACCCTGTACGTATAATCGTATGATGTATTTTTCTTTAAACAAACATTTTTTTGAATGTAAAATGATAATTTACGAGGGGAATTCAGTTCATCTCTTTCAATGCGGAAAATTCTTTTTTAATGCAACCGCACAAAGCATTGGGAAAAAGAAATCTATCATTAGGAAGAAGATATATTTAAGTATAGGAGAAAATGTGTTTCCAAATGAATCACACAATCTCCCGTAAGTCATGAGAAACGCTTCTGGTAACACAAAGTCACGCGATCGATTCGTTATAATTTTTCGTTTTTAGCATCTATCGTAGAAACAGAATTGTGCAAATAACGTGAACATTTGCAACTGGATGTGACATCCCCTGAGTGATGTATAATTATTTTCTTTTTTTTTTCTTTAATAATTTAGAATCCTTGTTCTTGTGTCGTAATTTCCAACTCACAGCCACGCATATAGCACCTTTCCCGCCGTTTCTCCCGTTTCTTCATCATCGTCGTCATCGTCTGAAAATCCCATAAATTTGGCACAAATTCGTGATACCAGGGTTCTTTGATCACTGAATCTTCTCGCGACGAATCGTAGAAAAGGAAGTCGATCTTATTCGGACCTCGACCAGCATCTTTTCACTTTCGAGGGCGTCCTTTTCTTAGACACCATTCTTCACAAAGCGCGAGAGATCATAATATAAGAGCTACGCCAGGTACCTATTTCGCGTATTAATATACAATTTGACCTTAGATCAAGTTCTTGTAACTTCGCTAAATTCTTGCCAGAGATCGACGCCAATTGTCGTTTCTATGATTGCCAAAATATCCGGCGATATCGTCACGGGATTGTCCGTGTAAATGAAACGGTCTCTTCGTTTTCCACGTGTTGTTATTGAAATGGCAATGTCTTCGCTAAGCTCCGTTCGACGGCGAAAATAAGAACATCTTGCATCGTATCCTCGTACTGCTTGCGTAACATTTTGCAGAACGAAGAGGCAACAAGATGCTGGAAAATCCGCTCTTCGATTCTTACAGATTTAGACCTCGATTGCTACTTTACGTTGCTAGGAGCCGTATCGCATTGCCCTAAAAGAAGAAGATTAAAGTTTTGAATCATAAGAGGTTCAATCGAGGAAAAATATTTTAAAGAAAATATTTTGTCTTTTAAAAAAAGACAAAATAAAAATAGAAAGCAAAATAGAAAGATAAAGCGATCAGTTATGTACACTTTAACATTTAGGTAATTCAATTCTTGAGTTGGTGAGATGATATTGAAAAAGATTCAACAAAGTTCAAAAATCATTCTCTAAATAAATTTTCGTCGAAAAGAAATAATCTTCAAATTCTACGAGAGATCTATCGTTGAATTGGAGCGCTTCACGTTCTCTAATTATTCTAATGTCTTTGATTTTTCATAAGAATTACATCTGAGAAATGTCTATCTCGCTGGAGAAGGAGAAAATATTCTCAACGATTCGAAAAGTATTGGGAAATCTAGCTTTAAATTTACCTTCAACAAAAAAGCGGCGCCTCTGGTTGGTTCCACCAGTGGGCAGCCAGGAGTAGATAGAGCTCCTGATCCTGGACGGTGTAACCAGGTGGCGGCTGAGAGGGCAGAGGTGGCGGGATAGGCGGCAGCAGGGAATAGGACGGCGGCGGCGGCGACGGGGATAGGGATTGTGAGAACGTTGTCGTCGAGAGCGGCGTCGGCGGCGTCGCGGTGACCGCTGCTGGAGGCTCGTCTTTAGCCGGAGATCAAAGCGCGCAGTCAAACATCGCCAGCGACCGTGTGATCACATCGTCCTGCAGTCAAGTTCACATCAACTGAGAACCATTTGTATATTTTTTCCTTCCAAAAGTTCAGAACTTAGCGCGACTTGCTCGAAATATCATTCCGCTAACAAAAGTACTGAACAAACTACAAACAAGCTCGCGCAAGCTCCATAAACATCGATTAATCTTCGGTGTCCTTATTTTTGTTTCTTGCATTCGTGCCTCACGTGCACTATGAGTTCACGTGCATTTATTGTTAGAGCAAAATTCGTATTACGTTCCTGTACTCGTGTAGAGAGTCGATATTCATAATCAGTTCTTATTTTAAGACTGCCTTAAATGTCTTATGCTAATATGGCTTCGTGATTATATTGCTTAGTATCTTAAATATAAGAATCAACTATGATAATACTGGCCGATGTACCGAATATAGAATCGAATACGAAAAATTAGAAATTACAAATATTTTACGAAAAAGTTTCTTGACGACATAGATATTGATATTAATAAAAATATCTCTACAGAGATATGTATTTAGTCTTTAATATCGAATGATTCTATCAAATTAATTCTCAAGACATTATAAGTGGATAATAAAATCATATTTCTCAGTGAAATATAAAATCTATTATTTCTACAGAAATACGTAATAATTATCATGATGTATAACATGGAAAATTAGCTCATTCAAAAAGAGGGAATTGTTCCAAGTCTGGTTGAACTGCGAGTTAAAACTAGTTGAAAGAACACTCAGCAGATCTGGGACATTTTGTATATACGTCTCGGACTTTACATTCATTTACGAAAGGGAGTGCATACAGAGTGTCCTAAGTTCACTATATTTTCTTCTATTCAGACTTTAATTAAACTGAGATTATCATTATAGTCTGATTCATCAATATGGAAGCGTATGTGACACGCAGATAGAAAAAGCATTAAAGAAAAGTCAGTTGTACATCAATCTCAAAGAGTCTACAGAGACAAATGAAAGCGACGATAGGGCCCTGTATACTTTCCATCTACTTGATTGCTCATAGTTTCATGGTCAGACATACCTTCAAACAACTCTCGATAAATTCCTCGATCGTGATAACACCGTCCTGGTTGAGATCGAGTTTCTTGAAGACCCTGTCCAGCTGTTCTCTCGCCTTCCTTTCCTCTTCGGCATGATGTCGTCTGCCCATGAGCTCGTGGACTGCTGTCACAACTTCACCCAATTCACCCCTAGTGATGCAACCATCGCCATTTATGTCATATAGCTTAAAGGTCCACCTCAGTTTCTCATAAATGCTACCCCGCAGTAGGGTCGACAGCGTCACGAGAAGGTCCTGCAATCCCCGGAATTATCTAAATCGCGCGCGATTTTAATACGAAATGCGGTGGAATGACAGTGCTTCTCGAGTGTCCGAGCATGTAGATTTCATGAAAATTCAAATGAAATTTTACAATTTGATGGATAATGAGAAATAGTTCGGATATAAATGAATATTAAAAAAACTAAGAGATACTAGCGAAGCAGAAAAAAATGTTAATCAATATCTCAAACGAAGCGTAAAGAAATTCGTTAAGGAAATTTTCAAAGGAAAATTTTGAAGTCTCACATTCATATTTTAAGTTAACTCGGAAACATGTGTATGTGCGTGTGTATATGTATATGTATATATATATATATTTTTATATATATATATATAATATTTATAGCGTTTTTTGTTAAAAGGCCATTCTTTGTCCAAAATTCAGCTCAATCAAAAAATTTCTTTCTGGACTTAAATTGTAAATTGTTTATACATGTCTATTTTCATTAACAACCCTAGCCCTTTCGGAAATTTAACATGACAGGTCCAACATGACACAACTATAGTTCACGAAGTATTGATTGAGGACGTTTGAATCATCAATATTGCTTACCAATCTATATCTAGCAACTATAGTCACTCATAGGTGCACATTAAAAACAAAACCTGCAATTATACAAAAAAAGAATCTTTCTCATCTATATAATACGAAACATTGACAAGGGAAATTAGTCAAAATAGTGTCCAGGTATGTCCGAGTTTATGTCTCACGTGATTTGACACCGCGTTGACCCATTGAAAGCTTTAATACTGTGTGCGATGCTCGGCATCAAGCTGCCTTTGCGGTAGTAATAAATTTTCTGTATACGCGAATGACCATGCAACAATTCGCATGGAATGACGGATGATCAGCGAGCTCCGTGAGATAGCTTCGTAGGCGCATTTGCCTCTGTATTCGATACATACCAGTGTATCCCGCATTTACCGTAAAAACGATTAATTATTCATCCGATAAACGATCCGATCAATTGGCGGTAGTCCCGACTCCAATCGACGACCAGGCCGTTCGCGTGCCAGGTTATTATCGCGAAACGCGGATGTGCATCGCCCGCCCGCATAAATGCATCAGTATTTGCCTTCCGTTTGTCGTATAACACCGAAATTTCCCATCAAGATTCATCGCGCTCGCGTTTCATCCGCCCGTCAATGTCAATTCGAGAACTACATATCGCAGAAATCGCGGCATAAAATACATAGTAAATTAAGCTTGGCTTGAACCAAATATGAGCAAAATTAAATCCGAGTATAGCACACGATAATAATGCATTAAATTAAATAATGCATTAAAAATTAATGTATGAATTGTTTCACGTATAATCAAGTAGAATGTTCATTTATTATTTCGACTCGGAAATTTATTATTATTGTGTAATTAATTGTTAATTTGAATAAATAATTTCTTTAACTAAAATATATGCTCTTTTTATTATATTTTCTACATTAACAGAAAAAAATATTATAATTACTATAATTTAACTATAATTTATAATCATTTTTTATGTTAATAAGATTGAAATGAAGGAAAAATATTTATTATCGAAGTCTTTCTGAAACTATCTAACGGTAGCATTTCGGTTTTCCGGAAATTATCGCAGGATAAATCTAGGTTAAGTCTAAAACTTTAAATAGGACCATATAAGTTGAACAGGATAAATCTATATATAAAAATTTATCACAGGGTTTGATCATAAAAATTTTAATTCATACCTCCAATAATCTTTTAATATACAAACGGATGACTCATAATTTGTGACATTTCCTTATTTTTCCCGTAAGTGATATTTAAAAAAGGTTTAAATAAAAGTTGTTTATTTTTAAATTTATTATTGGATAAATTAAAAAACAAATAATTCATCGGTATGCTTCTCGCTGATAAAGTGAATGGCAAGGTTCACGAAACGTCAGCATTAATAATGGATCATAACACGGCGATAACTCGCAAAATCTCTGGCATCTTTAAAACAGTTAAGTGTTGCTTACATCTTTTATTTACATTATATGTACAATATCTCAAACGAAGGAAAGGAAATTTTCGA